CATTTTTTATTGATTTATAATCATTTTTACAGTGTTGTGTCAAATTCCAGTGTTCAGCACAATTTTTCAGTCATTCATGGACATATACACACTTATTGTCACATTTTTTTCTCTGTGATTTATCACCTTTTTCCCCTAAGTTTTGAGTTTTTGATTCAGGTGATTCTCGTGTCCTCAAAGGTTTATTTTTTTGTTGGATGTGTTGTCTTACAGTTTTCTTGTTTTTTCCAGATTGTTTGTCTCTGACAAGCGTGGAACTTCATTTTCTGATTTTTTGCAGTGGCTCTTTATGGATTTGCTACCTTGCCCTTCGTTTTTTGTGGTTTGGGGTGTTTACAAGACTCCGGTGTGATGGCGCCCCCTCCTGGCGGCTCTGCAGAGTCCGCTGGGGCCCCAAATGTCTGTCTGCGGTTTTGGCAGCGAGGCTCTGACTTGCAGGACCCTCCACCCCAATACTTCTCTCCCTGCCGCTGCCCAGTTTCGAGGGGCTTGTCTCACATCTCGCTCCGCCCCTCCACGTCCGCTCTGGGTGCCTGGCGCTCTGGTGCGGAGGACCAGCCCCTCTGGCCCTTCCAGTCCCCTTGCCCCCTCCTGGCTCCGTCTCTGCTGCTTGGCCTTGTGGGGGCGCAGTGGGACCCCGCCTGGGATGTGTCAATGCTTCTCATGAAGTCTGGGTGCGCCTCGTCCTCACCTGTGCTGAGGCGGTGCGTCCAGTAGGCCTCTGTGTCCCCTCCTGTTCTGCATGGTTTTGGGGAGACTGGGGGGGGGCACTGGGTGACCTTGTGTTCGGCTGCGGTGAGGGACGTCTGTGCTCACGAGCCGGGTGCTCGAGTGTCTCTGTTACTGCTGTTCTGCACCGTGTCCTTGTGCACGATGAGGACGTGGCGGGTGCGGACGAGTTTAGGAGCCACGCTGCGCACAGGGAGCAGAACGAGCCCGTGGGAGCCTGTGCTGTTGGCACTTTGACCCAAATTGCTCCCCGCCTGGGACGCAGGGACAGCCCGGCTGGGTAGAGACGCCCTCATTTCCCCGCCGTTGCTCGGTGGGCTCCAGGGGAGCAGAGACGGCCCTGCAGCGGGAGCCCCCAGCAGTCCCGGGGCCGGCGCTCCCAGCACCAGCTGCCAGCTCCGCTTGTGCACAGCCCTGGGGTCCCGAGCACAGTGGCCCCGTGAGCCAGGTGGAGAGTGGACGGAAGCTGATCTTCTCCGTTTGGTTCCTACATCTCATGTTTGTTGCCTGTCAGGTTGGTTGTGGCGTTTCTGGCCGTGGAGAGATTGCCTTCAGAGGAAGGAGCAGCCTCTTTTTGTTGACCCTTTGGACAGTCCTGTGACGGGGCTGAGTGAGTGTTCACAGTAACGCTTGGGGGGGGAAGCTAGTGTTCCTCCACGGCCTGCAGATGCCAAGCGGAACAGAGCAGACCGACTCGCCCCTGCGCCTGTGGGCGGATGCTGTGTGAGTCGGCGCCACCCTGCCCCCTCCTGGGTGGACGCCCACGGCCCTGCGGTTTCCTGTGGCCTCTGGTCCTTGCTGGCCGCTCCCTCGGGCTTCCCCCATGGGGCGCTGGGTTCTCCCACTTCCAGGCTGGGCGCGGGGTTCCTGTGACCCCTTCCCGTGGCCAGGACGCCCCAGAGCCATCCAGTTAAAGGGTGGCACTCGCCTCGTGGAATTAGAAGTAACTGAAGCATCGCAGGCTTTTTATTAACGTCCACAGAACCGTCCGCGTGTGACAGTGCCGTCCCCTCCCCCGTGGGCTGTGCTGACACTTGCCTGTCTGGCTTTTCTGGCACCACTTTCGATTTCTAAAAAATTCTGCATTAAAATGTTACTTACCTTGATTTCTGATTTGTAGCATCCTTTAAATTCTGTGCCTGAAGTGAGCGCCTCACCCTTGTCCCAGCCATTTTTGGCCGTGGAACTATTTTTCAAGTAGGAACGTCAAACCCGGTCCAGAATTGCAGCAGGTGCCACTGAAGACGTCCGGCCCGTTGTTTAGGTAGTGCTTTATTCTCTCCGAGCGGCAGGAGAGTCCCCGAGCCCCGAGGCCAGGCGCTGTCCATCTGTCGTGGAGGCAGGAGGAGAGCCCCCCTGCACTCCCTGCCCAGCCGTCTTACTAGAGACTCGGCCTGCGGGCAGCCCAGGTGCACAGCAGCTCCCGAGACGGAGCCCCGTTTTCCTCCGCGCTCCTCTAAACTGTACGTTTTCATCACAGCCTTTTCAGGGTGCTGTCTGTCTCATACACGCAGTGCTGCAGTAGGGCTGTTACGGAGACTCAGGGAAAACCAGGAAAACTGAAATGGTTGTTCCAGACAAGGAAACGCAGTCACCAGAGGACTGGTCTGGAGGAGGGACCCCGCGGTTAAGGGTGTCTGCCGGGGGCGTAAAGAAATTGTAAGTAAGGGTCGAAGACCTGTCGTGGGCAGCGCGGCGCCTGGAGGAAAGGGCCCCCCGGTGGAGGGACCGGCCTCGCCCGCCACCTGCTGGCCGCTCGCTGCGCGGCCTCCTCCAGCCTCATAGAACTCATTGCTGCCACCTGCTTAGACTTTGAGAAAATGCTGTAAAAATGCCAGATCTAAGTTTTGCACTTGAAATGTACACGAGCAACTTTAACCATCAGAACCCAGACACTTAGTTCTCATTCTGCACGGAAGAGCGAGAGCCATCCAGCTGGAAGCATGTGGGCCCTTGGCCCCTGAGTGTCCCATGGAGACGGGGCCACGCCGAAGGACGCTGCTGCGGAGGGCCACGCGCCACGTCCTGGAGAACACTGGCAGCTCCCTGTGGTGCAGGCCGGCTGAACTGCTGCTGTCAGCCCAGGGGGCTCCCTCCTGGCCATGGGTGACCGTGGTCACCGCGGAGTCCTGCGGCCCAGCCTGCCGACTGCCAGCCTGCCTGGCCCAGGAGTCTGGACTTTGTCAGCGAAGTGGGGATGACACAGCCAGCCGCAGGTGCAACATAGCCCTCCTGAGACGCTGGACACTGGAGGTCGGGGGCACCAGCGGCAAGCCCCGGAACTGTTCTGCGTCCTCCGCCACCACCTTTTCGTTCCTCACGCCCAGGGGCCAGAGTCTGAGCTCTGTGGGGCGTCACGGGGTTCGTGCTCTCAAGCGTGTGTGCCTGAGAGCAGCAGTCTTGGAGGTCGGCGTGGGGGTCCGTGCCCCTGCTCTCACCCCTCCCCATTAGGGACTCGTAAAGCACGTCAGCGCCCGCAGTAGGCCTGCGGGAAGGAGCCTGTCCCGGGCCTGGCTTCCTCCAGCATCAGGGCTCCTTGGGGCACCTATAGGGAAACATGAGCTACCCCAGGCGCGCGGTCCTGGGGCGGCACCTGGCCCTGCCCCCTCCTTCTGACGCCCACCCTGCCACCACTAACTCGGCTGTCTTCTCCTTTCTCGTCACCAGGGCTCGGGCCCAGGCTCGGCGGTCCCAGGCAGCTCCGGCATCGGAACCCCCAGACAGTTCACGCGACAGCGGATCACGCGGGTCAACCTCAGGGACCTCATATTTTGTTTAGAAAATGAACGCGAGACAAGCCATTCACTGTTGCTCTACAAAGCATTCCTTAAGTAGCTCGGACACGGCCTCTCAGAGGGAGACGCCTGGGGACTTTTCATTTGTTTGCAGATACGCCTTTTTGTAACAAGCAAATGGGATATTGTTTAAAAAACAGCCACCTCTTTACAATGGAGCAGTTTTATATTCCTGTTTCTAAGTCAACTCTTCTGTACGGAGGAAAACACGTTTCTGTAACGGAGAACACAGAGGCCCGTGGGTACTCTAAAAGGACAATTAAATCTTAACTCATCTTTGATTGAGTGGCCTTCTTGCCAAACAAGCCATATATAAAAACTGATGGAATCGTTTAGCAAATAATTAGCTGCCCTCTGTCAGCTCATAGCGGTTTCTGCATCATTTGTGCATTTGGTTTAGTTCAACCCAACTTACTCCGTAGGTGTGTGTCTACAGCCGATGACCTCATTTCACTTATTTTATTTTTGTATTAGTCAGTTGGCAAAGCAAACTGATTTTTTAGACTATTTATCGTCGCCCCTCCCCCGCCCTCCGTTCGGGATTCCCGAGGCGCAGGTGGGCGTTCCTCAGCTGCCCACGCCTCGGGGCCCACCTCCCTTCTGCTTCTCGGGGCCCGGCGCCGCGGCTCCTTCTGAATGTGTGGTCAGCATCTGTACAAATGCATTTTATTTGCTATAGTTTGTAAAGCTGTAAAGTTAAAAGAAATGAAAACCTTTTCAGCATAAATCTATTTTACTTGCACTGTGTTTTTTAGCTAAAAGTGAAAACTTAGATGAAATAAAATCAAAGTTGAGAAGAATCATCAAGAGACTGTTTCTCAGTGTGAATCAAGTGTTGAAAAATGGCTGGTGTATTTTGTCGGTAACTGTACATAGTTTTTGGCACATGACAGAAGACGGCTATGTAACTATAATTATTTTGCTAAGAGACTGTATGCAAGCTGTGGGCCCACTTTACAGACGTCCAGAGCAAAAGCCCCTTCTTTGTACCTATTTTTTTATTACAAATATACTAATTGGTTCTTTATATTTTCAGAGGTTATTGTATTAAATTGTCTATCGATAGGACTTTTATGACTGTAAATGCTCCGGCTTTCTCCGTGTGAATTCCCACGTTAGACTCTCCGCGCGCGTGTGGACTGAGTGCTGATAGTGTTTTTTATCGACACCTGGAAACTGTTACACCTTTTATTTTGTCTTTTAGGAAAATCCTGTCTTTCCATTTTTTCATGTAAATTTTGCACAGTTACTTGTTCATATGTAAATATTTTACTTTCAAAATGAAGTTTTTAATCGCTATGGTTTTATATAGGATTGGAAGAGAATTAACCCCTTTATTAAAAACGAATTTATCTGCATTCGTCTTGCCTGTTTTTCCCAGTTTTCAGGGTTAGATCCTGCTGCCAGAGGCTCAGCTCTGGGCTCGCTGAGGTGTGTGTTCACAAGCTCCTTTTTAGGGTTGGTGTCTAAAACCCAGCGAACCTGGCAGAAGCAGCCTCACCTGCAAGGGCAGGCCCTGCGCGCTGCGGCGTCTAACCCGGGTGTGGAGTCCAGGGCCCGGAGGCCGAGCCACGCCCAGCGAGCTCTCACGGTCTGGGCCGCCCCGCCTCGGACACACAGCGGCTCGTGCTGTGTGGACGCCGGGCTCCGGTCCGTGCAGAGGAGCTGGGGCAGCCCTGGGAGAGGGAAGGTAAGGCCGGGGGGCCCCGGGGAGAGGGCGCGCACGGCTTCAGGAACGCCCTGGGAGCCTGGCCCCGGCCTCGTGTGGACCCAGCACGACGGGGAAGGACCGGGGCTCCGGAGGTCTCCTGCGCCGTCTCGGTCAGGGGGCGTCGCAGGTTGGCCTCGAGGGACCGTTGCTCCTGGGAGGGCGAAGGGGAGCGCCTGCGTTCCCCCAGCACGCTGCCTCCCCCAGTCGTTGGTGTGACTGGAGTTGGCGTCTAGTTTTCATGTTAACTTTGACCATTTGGAGGGACCTCCGGCCCCACGAGGGTTTACTGACGAGTGACGCCTGGGAGCATGCCCTCCTGTGGCTGCCGGGCCGCGGGAGCAGCGGTTGTTGTCCTCGCAGTCTGGAGGCTGGAGTGGAGACCCAGGCGTGGGCAGGGCTGCTCCCCGTGGGCGCCGGGCCCCGGGGTTTGTGGGCGTTTCCGACATTCCTTGGCCACGGACGCGTCGCCCTTTCACCCCCACGTGGCGTTTGCTCCGAGTGCGCACCTGCCTTTGAGCCTGAGTCTCCCCTTTCCCTAGGACGCCAGCCGTTTGGACTGCCCGCCCGAGTGGCCTCGCTTTAACTTGATGCCCTCTGTGAAGACCCTGTCTCCGAGCAAGGTCGCGTCCTGCGGTCCTGGGGCGTGAGGGCTCCGACGTCATCTTTTTAGGGGAGGACGCGGTTCAACCTGGGACACCTGTGTTGGTGGGTGACACGAGAAACTAAACCCGGGTTTTAGAGCCTCCTCTGGGATGCAAGGGCACAGCATGCAGTCTTCTCTCCTGCAAACGCCTGAGGCGGCTGGTTGGTTCAGTCACGCGCGCACTTTCCACCACGACTGGTGCTTTGTGCTCGCTGAGGTCTTGGCCTGAAGTTAACTCAGGTCCGTCAGTGCGGGACGGAGTGCCTGGGGTCCTGCAGGTCCGGTCGGTGTGCGAGGCCCCGCGGGGTGAGGGGCGGCGCGGGAATGGACGCAGGGGTGGGCGAAGCGGGCAACAGCTCGTGGTCTTCCTGCAGTGCCCGTCACTGAGACAGACCTTGTGACTGTCCTCGGCCACTAGTTAGCCAGTTAATTGTTAACTAGTTTTCCCTTATCTCAGACTGTGGTCTCCAAATGTGAACTTTATCTTAAGAAAAGGCCCACCAGGCTGAGACCCGACTGCCAGCAGTTCTGTAGTTTTGAGGAGAATCGTGGTGCCCAGGTCTATGTTTTTCTGAAACAGATTTGTTCAGCAGGTGCCAGTGAGCACCTCTCCCCGCAGGACACCTTCCCGGGGCGTGGGGCGTGGACACAGCTTGCCCCTCCCCAGAGGAGGTCAGACTTGGTCTGGGAGAGAGGTGGCCGGGGGCCGCAGCCTGGGCAGAGGTGGTGGGGGGCCGGGGATGGGTCCTCCTGCCGGTGCAGCTGAGGAGGAAGGCGGGGGCCTCTTCCTGTGCTTGTCTGAAAACTGAGGAAGGGACTGGCCGTGCCGAGTGCCCGGAGGGCGGGGACCCCCGGGCTGTAGGTGACACGGCCCTGGGCTGTTTCTTCAGAAGTGGGCTGTGCGTTACCAGGTCCGCCCCCGAGCCCCTGGGCACCGGCCCGAGGGACGTGAGGGATCTGACCACGCACAGCCGTGCGCACAGCTGTGCACCACAGCTTCATTCCAAGTAGCTAAACACTGGGAAAAACCCAGCTGTCCATCTGCAGGTGAGTGGAGGAACTGGTCCTTTCACTCAGTGAAGGACCACATGGTGGTTCTCTGGTGACGAGGACCCCCGTGGGGTTCCCTTTGTGTAGCGCACGGGGAGGTGCCAAGTCGTCGGTGATCAAAGGACGCCATCAGTGGGGCCGGGGGTGGGGAGTCGTGCAGGGGGCACCGGGACCCTCTGGGGTGCCCAACGCTCATTACCTTGATTGTGGCAGTGGCTTCACAGCTGCCTACACCTGTCAGAGCTTCTCAAGGTGCACCCTGGAAACACGTGCAGGTCACTGAACGTCAGAAATATCTCAGTAAGAACGCAAAAATAAGTGAATAAAAAAGGAGAAAGCTGTGTTCCCAGGTGGGGATTGTCTTGGGTGGGATGTGGTCAAGAGGAAGGTGCAGGTTGTGGGGGGAAGTGGGCGTGTTCTGGCGCTGGACGGATGTGGGGCGGGAGGGTGGGGGGCCCCGTTCAGGCGTTTGGCAGGAGAACGAAGGCTGGTGCTTGGGCCTAGGTGGGGAGCCGGCGGCAGAGGGAAGGCCAGGGCGTCCCCGCCACGCTCCTGCAGTGACGCCCTGGGCAGGGGCGTTTGGCAAAGTCTGCGTGCCTACAAAGTCCCTGGGGCGACACCTGACGGGGTGAGAGCACGGTGAGTTGTCGGGTGGGGAGCGAGGGGCTCCAGAGAGGGGTGAGCCGCTGCCCAAGGAAGCCAAGGGTGCAGAGGGTGTACAGTGCTGCCAGGGCCCCTGCAGGTGGGCTGGAGTCTGTGCTGAGTGGGCGGGGAGGATGGGGCTTAGGGCCTGGAGATGCTGGCCCTATATGAAGGCTGTCTGGGAAGGGGAGGTGGGGCGGACAGCTGCGACGGGTGGGGGGTTAGAAGGGGCTTTTGTGCCGGCAGGTGGGGCATGCTAAGGAAGAGAGCCAGCCAAGGGCAGAGGGAGGGTGCAAGGAGGGGAGGGGACAAGGGGGTGCGGGGAGGGGGGTGGGTATGTGGGCAGTCCACAGAAAGTCCTACGTGTTTGAGTTGGGGAGCGGCTGGTAGGAGGTCAGCTCGTCTGCCGAGGGCCACCTTGGCTGCTGCTTCTCTAAAGCCCGGCTGAAGATGAGGCCAGAGTGCCCGCGAGGGGTGACGTGAGGCCAGAGCGCAGGCGACGAGTGGAGAGTCTTGATGTTATTGGAGCACCTGGGTCCGGCTATGCTTGAAGACCCAGCACGGAGCCTTTTTGGGAGATGTTGGGGCAAGGTGGTGACAAGAACTTCATTGTCCATTCAGCCAGGCCTGTGGATCCAGCCCAGCCCTGAGAACTGGCTTCCAGGAGTTTGGGGAAGGACTGATGTCCTCCCAGCGTTGTGGACGGCACCCTGAAAAGAACCTGCCCAAGTACCCTGCGCCCCACCCTCAAGGCCCCTCCCCCCACCCTGGGCAGCGGGCAAGGAGTCAAGGTGTAGCCACCAACCCTGGCTGGGCCAAGGACCCCCACCGGGTGGGGAGGGGAGGGGGCCGGCCCCCCTGGGAGGGGGCCTCTGCCAGCCCTGGGCCAGGGCCTCAGGGATTCTGGAAGAGACGGGGCAGCATGTAGAAGGAGATGTGCAGGCAGGGAGGTGCTGGGTGGTGCCGACCTCATCAGACTGAAGCCCCCATCTGGGCACCAGTGGCAGGGGTGGGGCCCCCAGACCTTGCCCTACCCCACCCCCACGTGCTGGGTTTCCCTTGAGGGTGGTCCCAGGCCTCTTCTCCCGCCGGCAGAGTCAGGGCTCACATCCTCTCCTCTGGGTGCAGACAGCCTTTCTGCCCTCTTGTCTCTGGAGTGGAGGCGGCAGTAGCACCCCATCTCCCCAGGCTCCAGGGTGGCTGAGAGGTTGCCCTGGGAGCCCTGACTGCAGCCCACGGGCGGGGGATGGGACGCTGACTCGCTGGAGCGCGCCACTGGCGGCAGGTGCGCGGAGGGCGCGGGGCTCCTCCCTCTCGGGCTTCGTTTCCATGCAGGTTCGGGAGGCACTTCAGGACCGAGTTGTCTAGGGGTGCGCACCCCCGGCAGCTGAGGACTGTTGGTGGGCCGCTCCGTGTGCTGCCACTGGCGAGGCCCTGCCGAGTGGCAGCAGCCGCAGCCCTGGGACCGCCTGTCCCGCAGCCTGCCGCGTGCCTCTCCCCGCTCCTGGACTTGTTGCATCGCTGCTGTCATGCGGCTGTGTGTTTCGTCAGTCGTCCCAAGTCATTTAGTCGTCATTATTTTTATCGGAGGCTTGGCCACACATTTGGTAACGCAAGAAGCAACGATCACGTGAGATTGGCAGCGCACCGGTAACACGGCTAGCGATAGCAACGCGGGCGACAGTGCCGAGTGCGTGAAACGCGGCCCAGCATCTCCCCAGGTCTTCTGGCCGGTCTGCTCTGACCCAGTGGGCATCTTCAGGGGAAGCGATATGCTGGCCTCGTGCACAAGGCCCGCCAGGGTCTGCACGTGCGTGGCAAGTGGAGGGTCATCGTGAGCCCTCACAGGGTTGGGAAAGGACGGTTGTCTGGCTGGCGCCGGAAGAATGAAAACCGATCTTTATGGTTGAGCAGGTGTTTCTGCCGCGGGGGGTCTGATTAACAGAAGCAGATCACCAGCACACTGGAGAGGAGGGAGGAGGCCCAAACGGGCAGAGTAGAAAGTTTATGTTTAAATTTTTTTTTGGTTGCCTTAGAAGATGAATTTTAATTTCATCCCCAACACTTCCAGGCAGCGGACTTGAGGGAAAGGCCCTGGAACCCCACGAAGCTCCTTCCTGTGGGCCCCCCAGGGCCCCGTGGGGAGAGCCTGGGACCGGCCCGAGCTGAGCGGGCCGAAAGCAGACGCACCTGGAGACAGGCATCTGGCCAGTCCTCAGGCCCCGAGCTGGCCTGGGCGCTTGTGCACCACTTCCAGGGTCCCCCATCCTGCTCACGGAGGATCACGTGGGCAGAAGTCGTCGCCTGGGAGG